CTCCCCCCTGGTCCTTTATATACGGGGGCAGGGGGCACCTCTAGACACAACAATTGATCTCTTGATCTCTTAGCCGTGTGCGGTGCCCCCCTCCACCATATTCCGCTTCGATCATATCCTGGCGGTCTTAGGCGAAGCCCTGCGTCGGTAGCAACATCATCATCGTCACCACACCGTCGTGCCGACGGAACTCTCCCGTGAAGCTCTGCTAGATCGGAGTTCGCGGGATGTCATCGAGCTGAACGTGTGCTGAACTCGGAGGTGTCGTACGTTCGGTACTTGGATCGGTCGGATCGTGAAGACGTACGACTACATCAACCGCATTGTGCTAACACTTCCGCTTTCGGTCTATGAGGGTACGTAGACAACACTCTCCCCTCTTGTTGCTATGCATCACCATGATCATGTTTGTGCGTAGGAATTTTTTTTGAAATTACTACGTTCCCCAACAGTAAGCAGTATGACTATTATCACCCACAACTCTTTGTGTTCTACTCGTGCATATCATCTACGCATAGACCTGGCTCGGATACCACTATTGGGGAACGTAGCATGCAATTTCAAAAAAAATCCTACGATAACGCAAGATCTATCTAGGAGAAGCATAGCAACGAGAGGGGGAGAGTGTGTCCACGTACCCTCGTAGACCGAAAACGAAAGCGTTGGGTTAATGCGGTTGATGTAGTCGAACGTCTTCACGATCCAACCAATCATAATACCGAACATACGGCACCTCCGTGTTCAGCACACGTTCAGCTCGATGACGTCCCTCGAGCTATTGATACAGTAGAGGGTCGAGGGAGAGTTCCGACAGCACGACGGCGTGGTGACGGTGATGGTGATGTGATCCGCGTAGGGATTCGCCTAAGCACTATGACGCTATGACCGGAGGAGTAAACTGTGAAGGGGGGCACCGCACACGGCTAAGAGATTTCTTGGTGTGCCTTTGGGGTGCCCCCGCCCCCGTATATAAAGGGGGGGAGGAGGAGGCCAGAGGCCAGGAGGGGCGCGCCATTGGGGGAGTCCTACTTGGACTCCTAGTCCAAGTAGGATTCCCCCCCCCTTTCCTTTCTCCACCGGAGGGAATAGGAAGGAGAGGGAGAGGGAGAGGGAAAGGGAAGGGGGGCACCGCCCCCTCCTCCTTGTCCTATCCGGACTCCCTAGGAGGGGGGCACGTGGCCACCCCCCGCGGGCTTCCCTCTCTCTCCCTTAGGCCCATGTTGGCCCAATACTTCCCCGGGGGGTTCCGGTAACCCCTCGGTACTCCAGAAAATACCCGAATTACTCGGAACCATTCCGATGTCCGAATATAACCTTCCAATATATGAATCTTTACCTCTCGACCATTTCGAGACACCTCGTCATGTCCGTGATCTCATACGGAACTCCGAACAAACTCCGGTCACCAAAACACATAACTCATAATACAAATCATCATCGAACGTTAAGCGTGCGGACCCTAAGGGTTCGAGAACTATGTAGACATTAACGAGACACATCTCCGGTCAATAACCAATAGCGTAACCTAGATGCTCATATTGGCTCCTACATATTCTACGAAGATCTTTATCGGTCAAACCGCATAACAACATACGTTATTCCCTTTGTCATCGGTATGTTACTTGCCTGAGATTCGATCGTCGGTATCATCATACCTAGTTCAATTTCGTTACCGGCAAATCTCTTTACTTGTTCCGTAATGCATCATCCCGCAACTAACTCATTATTCACATTGCTTGCAAGGCTTATAGTGATGTGCATTACCGAGAGGGCCCAAAGATACCTCTCCGATACACGGAGTGACAAATCCTAATCTTGATCTATGCCAACTCAACAAACACCTTCGGAGACACATGTAGAGAATCTTTATAATCACCCAGTTACGTTGTGACGTTTGATAGCACACAAGGTGTTCCTCCGGTATTAGGGAGTTGCATAATCTCATAGTCAGATGAATATGTATAAGTCATGATGAAAGCAATAGCAATAAAACTAAACGATCATAATGCTAAGCTAACGGATGGGTTTTGTCCATCACATCATTCTCTAATGATGTGATCCCGTTCATCAAATGACAACACATGTCTATGGTCAGGAAACTTAACCATCTTTGATTAACGAGCTAGTCAAGTAGAAGCATAATAGGGACACTCTGTTTGTCTATGTATTCACACATGTACTAAGTTTCCGGTTAATACAATTCTAGCATGAATAATAAACATTTATCATGATATAAGGAAATTAAATAACAACTTTATTATTGCCTCTAGGGCATATTTCCTTCAGACGGTGCCTTCATTGTTTCCCCTCTTGGGGGCGTTACCTTTGGAGGCCTAGCCCGCGTCTTATGGTCATGCTATTGTCTTGCTATTTTTGGTCTTGTCGGCCGGGTGGAGGAAGTTGAGATGACGATCTCGAGTTTGCTAGTTGGATGCGGGGGTAGCGGCCCCGGGCTATGGTGTGGCAGTGGCCCTATGAGGCGGAGTTGTGGCTTTGCTCCGTGTTGGTGCCATTCTGGCGCTTTGTGGGTGGCCTGGTTGGTCATGCTTGTGGGGTCTTTGCATGATTATCCCTTTATCAATTATATGGTCGAAATTTTTGCACGATCGTCCCTTAATCAACCATGTGGTCGGGGTTATTGCACGGTTGTCCCTTAATCAACCATGTGGTAGGGGGTGTGTCGTGTGTGTGTGTGTGTCAGGTTTTCGGGCGATTCTCTTCTTCTTAATGAAATGCAGAAACCCCTGCCTCTCTCAAGGTGTCATAAAAAATCACGAGATCAACCATGTAATGATGCCTCATGAACTGCATTAGTCCATTACGAAGTACTCTCTCCATCTGGATTTATTATGTCATATTCTATTTTGCTATATTTGAAAAGTAAAATTTAAGTTGTATGTCATAAATAATTATATGGTTAGATTCATATTTGAAATAATTTTTCAATGATAGTCTTTTTTTGGCACATGACTTATATTTTGCTAGTTAAATTTGTTGTCAAAATGTGACACAAAATAGGAGTGGACTAATAAATCCGGATGAATCAAGTACTTGCTAACCGCTAGAGCGTTACCCTTGTCTTATTTTCTTAAAGGGTAGTGATCTGCGCCGGTGCGCCGACCCAAATTCGGGCCGCTTGCACCCTGCCCGTCAGATCTAGCTCCCCCGAGCCATCGGATCGCTTCTTGATCTTCCTCAACGTTCCACCCCCGCACGCGAGCAGCGGAGGAAAAAAGACAGGCATCGTCCAATGGGCAGCACCACTTCCCGTCGTCGAGCAGTCCTTCTCAAGCTGCGGCAGTCGTGCTCGTCGGCGGTGGCGGCCCCGACAGCACCTGCGCGTGTGGCGCTTGCCACTCCTCGTCAGGCGAGCGCCGTGGTTGAATCACGCCACTGGATTGCAGCACGCCCCCCCGCCCCCGATCTCTCTGTAGTTGCAGCACCTAGTCGCCGCCGTCGTAGCACCGCCGAGTTTGCCTGCCGTAGCTCTCTTGCCCAGTTTCTGGCGAAAATTGAGCGTCTGGAGAGATGCCTAGTGCTGCAATCGGCTACCAAAAAGCTACAGCCGGTAACAAAAAAAGCTTCAGTCGACGATGAAAAAAGTTTCAACCGGTATACGACGAAAGCAATGGACGACCACGAAATGTTGCAACCGGTGACAAAAAAAAGCTTCATCTGACGAGCAAAAAAGCTTCGTTCGTCGATGGAAAAAGTTTCAACCGTAGACGACGAAAGTCATGGATGTCAACAAAAAGCTTCAAACAACGGTTACAAAAAGCTACAACCGGCAGTGAAAAAAGCTTCAAACTTCATGTCTTACCTGTGACCCCTGCGACGGCGATGACGATGCAGCTCTGCCGTAGCCGCTCGTCGTAGCTCGCCGTTGAAGCTTTTTGCAAGGCCGGTTTAAGCATTCTACACCGCCGGGGTTGCAGCTTTTAACTCTTGTAGCAAAAAAAATGGAGAGACGTCATGGCCATCGTCGAGGAAGATTTCTCAATCTCTGGTTGAAGCTTTTTCATCTACAAGTTGAAGCTTTTTTGCAAAACGGTTGTAACTTTTCCTATATTCCGTTGTCTGGTTGAAGCTTTTTTATCTACTGGACGTAGCTTTTTGTGTCCATGGTTGTAGCACAGGAAAACGCCGTTTGCAACTTTTTTCAGTGCCGCGGTTGCAGCTCCTCTGGGTCGCCATGGTTGTAGCACAGGCACCTCGGTCCTCCTGTCGTTTGGCCTGTCGCCGGTTGCATCAAAAAAGGGAGAGAGGAGGCGGAGGAGAAGGAAGAGAGGGAGAAGGAAGAAAAAGGAGGTGCGAAGACGAGCGGGGCCGCAACCTACATCCATGGGCGACGGCGAGCTGCTCCACGCGCTGCAATGGAGGAGATCCGCGTTGAAGGAGGAGACGGGTAGAGATGCGGCGTCATGGGGGCGAGATCCGCACAAGGTTGAAGGCTGCGAGAGTGGCCCCGTTTCATACGTGTCGTTTGGTGTATTACTGAGGCGAAGCGTGCGTAGATGCATCCGACCCAATGTTCGGCCGGTGCACCGTCCCCAATAAGTTTCCTTTCTTAAATGCCATGAAAACCTAATCTACGGGGTAATTCCCCTGATTCCCGCGAGAGTTGAACTGTTAACTGAATCCATGTGAGCTGAGATCGATGCTGCGGTCACCATCGAGTAGGGTTCCCAGTCAAAAGCAACAGAACGGAGCTCCCTCGCTGTCATGTAAAACAGCTGGTTATCACACGAGATTAATTATTAATTGGAGCATCCGTCGGACACACGATGTGGAGAGCAAGGTAGTACAGTAAAAAAAGAAAGAGACGATAAATTTTCCAAAAAAGTGTATGGATTGCGGTTCGGGTCCCGACCGTATGCGCTGCCCGCACCCGACCCGCGTCGCCCATAGCATCCGCGCATCCGCATGCGCATCCGACACGCTCCCAGCTCTAGCAGTCCCTGCTTTCCCTGCTCGCCTCGCAGCCGCCGCCGCCGCCAGCCATGGGTCGCACCAAGGACGAGCTCCTCGCGCGCCTCGAGGTCCGTGCTCTCTCGCTCCCTTCCTTCTCCGGTTGCCCCTCCCCTGCGTAGCCACCTCCCGGTCGCGGAGATCGGCTGGACTGGGCCTCGTTCCCCCTGCCTGCCGCCCCTGGCTGTAGCGCCGACGAGGTGCTGCAGTCGATACAGATTTAGTGCGGAAGCTAGCTGGGTTAGAAATCCTGGCGCGAGAAGGCGTCGTTGGTTGCTGAAATTTAGTTTTGCGGTGTCAGCGAAGGGGTTAGGGTTTTAAATCCACCACTAGCTATATCGCGTGACCACGACGATATGCTGCGTCCCCCGGTGACTTCCAACATACAACGCTTGGTTTCTAGCAGTGTACAAAACTTACAACGAAGCTAGGGCCTACGGCTAAGCTTGGTGTCTTGTTTTTCTGCAGGAGCTTAAGATCGATTTCAAGCGCTACGACCACCCGGTTGTGCTGACGGTCGAGGAGCAGGTTTGTGAACCACCGAGTCCGTATTTGGTTCTGCGATGGCTTCCGTTCGATATGATGTAATGTGATTGCTAACTGAACTTCTGTTATGACAGGCCAAACATGTGGGAAATTTCGGAGGCGCGTTGACTAAGAATCTACTTCTGAAGGTATGCTTGTTGGCAACTAATGAACGGTTAATTCTAGGAAGCCTGATAGACTGAGTATTTATGTATTGATATGAGTTGTGGGTTTCAGGACAAGAAGCACCGGTTGTATATCGTTTCTGCACTTGCTGACACCAAAGTTGACATGAAAAGTAGGTGAATCTACTGATGATTGCAGTTTTTTCTAGCTTATTTGGGCATCAGGACAATTAATCTCTTTTCTCTAAAATGAGCAGTTCTGTCCCAGCGTCTTGGTTTGGGAAAAGGTGGCGTGCGGATGGCTCCTGAGGAGAATTTGCGTCAAGTGCTTCAGGTCTGCCTGCTTATGATGCTGTTTTAGGCACCACTGTTCTTCTTGGTTCCATAATTTTGGATCTTATGTGGCATAAGTACTTCCCTGGTAGTTTGTGAGGTTCACTGAAAAACCTGTCAAGAAGGGATGATACAATATTTTGCTTAATTTAGAAGATCTTTTCATTGTTTAAATTGCCATCGTTACAACATGTGTGTGCCGTAATGTTGTTTACCATTGGAGGTTTACTTTCTTCAAGTATGAGAATTTGAAAAAAAAAACTTTACTTCTATAGTTAATAGCGTTGAGCTCAGAAAGCAAGATGTCTCGAAATCACATCGTTTGTTAGTCAGTACTCCCTCCGTAAACTAATATAAGAGCATTTAGAATACTAAAGTAGTGATCTAAACGCTCTTATATTAGTTTACAGAGGGAGTACTAAATTGACTTAATGCATAATTGCACCCTACTTGTTGGTTAGCTCACTTGTTCTACTTTAAAAATCTATGTTTTTTTATGTTAATGTGGTCTTTGCTCCTTGATTATGCCCAGGTACCGTTAGGATGTGTTACTCCGTTTGCGCTATTCAATGAGTCCGCGAGGTATGGTAGCTTGCTTTGACTGTACCATTCCCTCTCCCTCTGCTAGCCATAATCTTGTTTCTACTTTCAAGCCATAATTTTGACAGATTGATGGGGATAGTGAGAGCTGTCCAATTCCCGCTTCCCTAAACAGTAAATGGTTCATCGCTATGATGGTCCGTGCCATTATGTCATCATGAGCATGGCAGACCTTTCTACTCCATTCCCCATGGTTAAGTTTGAATATTAGAAACCTGCTGAAATATTTAAAGCCATATGCAAGCTTATTTCAATGTGCTTTGATTTTTGTGTGTTCACTTACTGTTTGATAGGTATCTTTATTTTTATTGCACTCCCAAGTATAATATGTTGTTACTGATTCATGCAATTTATGGCAGTGCCGTCTCATTATTACTGGACCAAGGGTTCAAGTCTAAACAGAGCTGCTACTTCCATCCACTGACAAATGATGTGACTATTGGTATGACAGATACTACCATCACTTCCTTCACTTAAAATGTTTCATCGCTTTCATGTATTATTGTTAATAAATACATACTATAGTTACTGAATCACACACTGTTGTGTTGCCTTCCCATGATGCACACTTGTGCGAAGGTTGCACAGATGATGTTTCTTTACCTGGCTAATATTATGCGCTCTGCAAACAATTAAGGGACACTTGACACCGAAATCTTTTATTTATGCACTTGCTAATTCCTGATTACTTCATCTCAGCCCTCAGTTCAAGCAACCTGGACAAGTTTCTCCTCTCCATTGGGAAGCAACCAGCTTATGTAGACTTGGAGGTAATCTTTGGATCATCAGTCTATGATTTCTTAGAAATAATTGAGAGCGACTAACATTATTGTTTTGGTTCAGGCCTCACCAGTGGTAGGTAAAGATAATCCCCCTGATCTAGCAGATCTTGTGCCTTCTGGTGCATTCTGTTCCTCAGAAGAATCAGTTGAGAATCCGACTCCTAAAGATGCTCCTCAAGTCAACGTACCCAAAGAGAAAACATGTCTACCAGGTGAGTATTGACATGTAACATCTTCGTCATTGTACCTGGCCTGTTGGTCATCTTGCTATGCCTGCCGTTGATTGGTGTGGTTGTTAATGAGTGCGAGCAAAGCATTTCTGTAGCATGTACTCCCTCCGTTCGGAATTACTTGTCGCAGAAATGAATGTATCTAGATGTATTTTAGTTCTAGATACATCCATATCCGAGACAAGTAATTCCGAACGGAGGAAGTACTAAAAAATAACATGGAGAAACGTAATGGTGCTGTGTAGTATTGTGATGTAACATCTTCGTCATTGTACTCACTCATTTTTGCAGTTTCAGTTTTATGGTGTTCTATTGAATCAACCAAATTTATTTGACCTGGCCTGTTGGTCATCTTGCTATGGAGATACGTGATGGTACTGTGTAGCACAAGTATCATAGTTAGTCATGCTGGGAAATCTGAAGTTCTGAACTATGCCCAAGTCATGTTGGGAAATCTGAAGTTCTGAACTATGCCTAAGAGCATGACATAAAAAAAAAGAATGAACAAACACTTGATATGGCTGTAGAACTAGGGTTGAGAGCTGCCAAGACAATGTTTGTTGCTGCCATCAGAGCAAACAAGCACCCTGTTTGTCATAGACCATTGTCTGGCTACCAGCAAGAGAATACACCACCTGTTACACATTTTTTATCAGGATAGAGACAAACCAACAGTAGCATGTCAATTATAATTTTCTAGGATGGGAATATTGAATACTGTACAGGGAGTAAACATCATTTTTCGTTCCTTGTTGTTTATCCAAGCTTTTAGACATCCATTATGTATTTATAAGCTTTATGGAGCTTTTCAAGTTTCAACTTTCAACGGTAAATATGACATGGCATGTTCTTCATCAGAAGTGAAGGCTAAGCCCAAAGTTCAGAAGAAGGGGGCAGAAAGTTCAGAGAGTAAAGTTCCTACTAATAATGGCGCAAATGTTGAGATATTTGCAAGTGATGTGCTTGAGGTCATCTTCCCATTGTTCCTGTCTGAGGTAATCCAGTGACCTTACCATGTTAGTTTTCGTATATGATGCCTGCCCCTTGTGTTGATAAGTATTCTCTTGCAGGCATCAAAGAAATTGAATATTAAACAGGAAGAGCTTACTCAAATTTTAAAATTAGATGACTTTAAACGACGAGCTGCTCCAGATCTGGAGAGTGTAACGGTTAGTTTCTCTTGTGATATTTGTTAGTAGTTAGCAATTCTTAGTAATATCTTGAAGCAAGCATAGAGTAGAGAAAATTGAATCTCCTGGTAGAAATACATCTCATTATGCTTTTTCCATGGAAAAATCCCAATGTTAGCTTGAAAGCCTCACTCATGCCCAAGTTACCTCCGTCCTTGTGCAGTTGTGCTAAAAGGCTATATGATGAATTAACCTGGAATCTCCTCGAGACCTGTGAACATTTGCAGTGATCTGCTGATCTAAGATTAACCTCCTGGTGTCTGAATTGTATTTGTGAAAATTAGCTCATTTGGTGTCGCAAGATAAAATTAGCTCCCCTTGCTTGTATGATTTTGTGGTAGTATTATTGCAGTTTAGATTTTGATTAACCTGATCCAGAATGCTAATTTGCCCCTATATAATACTTCCTCCGTCCGGAATTGCATGGCGCTCAACTGGATGTGTCTAGACGTATTTTAGTGCTAGATACATCCGCTTGAGCATCAAGTAATTCCGGATGGAGGGAGTGTAACAAATAAACAGGGGAGGTCGATATTTGGTGCATAATGTATACGTTGCTACGGCAAATGTCTAATGCAAATGTTTTTAATGCAGAATATGTTCAAAAACGCAGCATACACTGCAGGATTTCACGCTGGCTTTGATACCATGCTCAAGTCGGGTTTAGGTGGGATGCCCTCCCGGAAATAGTCGGTTACATTGATATAGGAGACAGTGAGCTGATTCAGTCGATTTTTGTATGCCCCTCGGAGTAAAATCAAACCATACCATACATACTTATTATGTTCAATGATTCGATCGAATGTATCACCTTAAGCCTTTGTGATAGTTCTTTTCTTTTGGATTTGCTCAATTGCTTTCACGTATTGCTTTGAGATTGCTGCGCAGATTGCTTCAGCCGCTAGATAAATCCGCTCAACTGAGCTAAAAATGAAAATCACAACTCTTTGTATCGTTTACATTGTGGGTGGCACGATTACATTTTGGCCGTTCTTTGCACTATTACATTCTCCTATTTTATTTCCAGTGTGCTCTGCTTCTCCGGTACATCCACCATTGCCGTTGAAATATTTACAGCGGCTGTCATGCTTTACCTGCCAGTAACAGCCAACAAAATGTCAAGTCAGTAAGCGCGTATTTGCAGGGGCAGTGTTCTGATGAGTTGCAAGCACGGCATCGATCAGATGACTTAACTGAGCAAACAGGTTCAGGTTGTCTTTGGCGTAGGGACTGGCATCCCGGCTGGAAACGGCTAGAGGAGAAACAGAGAGCGCCACCACGCGTAGAAAGCTGAAAGAAAAATTCAGAAGAAAACAACTTAAAACAAGCATGCTGTTATATAGTCCAACAAAGAAAGTCAAGAATGCAAATAAACTCGTTATCTGTTCTTCCATTGATTATTATTACTAGGAGTACATTAGAGTTGTCAGTTATCACAGTATAGGTCTTGTTAGGCGAAGAAGGAGAAGAAGAAAACGCAAGTGGCGACGAGAACGAAAGACTGGAGGGCCGACAGGTCATTACCGCCGGCGTCGCCATCCTCGGGCCTGCCGTGTCCGCGCCGGCCGTACTCCCACCCGTCGTCCGCGTCCTCCGTCCCGCGCGCCGGCACCATCCACGACAACGGCCCCCACCTCACCGTCGTCGCCGGCTCCCTCTCCCTGTCTCTGTTTCTTGCACCGTTGCTGCCGCTGGGGCGACGTGTGCTGGAGGCGGCGCCGGTGCCGGGCAGCTTGAAGCGGCAGACGGGGCACGAGTTGTGGAGGCGGAGCCAGGGCACGATGCAGTCCGAGTGGTACACGTGCTTGCACGGCAGCTGCCGCGCCGCCTCCCCGAGCTCGAACTCCTCCTTGCACACGGGGCACTGCGACCCGCCGTCGTCCGACAGGTGCTGCGCGGCGATCCGCACCGTCGGGAGCGAGTCGATGGCCGACGTGGGGGCCGGCGCCGGGCCCGGCTGGTCGTTCTGGGTCAGCTCCTCCACCAGGCGGTTGAGGTCGCCCCCCGTGAAGTAGTCCCCCGGGTCGATGGCCGGGGGCGTGGCCGGCCGCCGCGCCACCGGCGCCGGCGGCGGGGAGGGCATGCGCCGGCGAGGCGGGGGCGTCGGGGCCGGCGCATGGACCCGCGTCGGCTCCCGCACCGGCGGAGGCAGCTGCCGGAACGGGCGCCCGGGCACCGTGGGCGCGGCGCCGTACACGACCCACCGGCGCGGGTTCCCGTCGTGGTAGTGCGGGTGCGGGTACGGGTGCGGCGCGAAGTGGTGCGGGAAGTAGCCCGGCGGGGGGAGCGCTGGGCGCGGCGGCGGGTCGATCTCGTGGAGGAAGCGGCCGTAGCAGCGCGGGCAGAAGACGTCGGTGGCCGGGTAGGAGATGATGCGGAGCGCCCGCGCGCACTCGTAGCACCAGTACATGCGGCACGTCCGCTGCCGCGCCTGCCCCCCGCCACCGCCGCCGTACACAGGCATCATCGTCCCGCTAGGTGGAGTGCTGGCAAGGTCTTGGGAAGTTGACAGACCGCGTCGTCGGAGTGCATGGAGCAGGAGGATTGCATGGTTTTAAAGGAAGGCAGTGCGAGAGATCGTGACACGGGCGGGAATTAAAGGATGGCTTTGCGGGGAGAAGAAAGCGATTCCGCGGCGATTGCCACTTTGCTTTGGCTGGTGGTGTGCAAGCGAGGCTGTGCTGTGGCTTGTGCGTGGTGCAAACCTCGGGGAGGGGGAGCTGGTTGTGGTTGCTTGCCGGCCAGGAGGAAGAGGAGGATGAAGGGCGGAGCGAGGAGGTGGCGGTGGCGGTGGCGGGAAGTAACTGTGGACGGCTCGGTTTGGGGCGTGGAGGAGGGGAAGGAAGGAAACGCCGAGAGCAACCGAGCGAGCTCGCGCCCGCTCTGCTGAAACAGGCTAGGATGGGCTGAAGCCCAGAAATGGCTCTAGCCTTTGGGCCACCGCGGGAGGAGTGCCACGAATTACCGTATCAGGTTGCTAAAAAATACTCCCTCCGTTCCTAAATACTTGTCTTTCTAGGCATTTCAACAAGTGACTACATACGGAGCAAAATAAGTGAATCTACACTCTAAAATATGTCTACATACATCCGTATGTAGTAGTCATTTGAAATGTCTAGAAAGACAAATATTTAGGAACGGAGGGAGTAGAAAGGAAAAAGACAACCGGATAAGGATCATAGTTTAAAAAACAGACCGGACCACCGGTCGGACCAGAAAAATCCGGAACCGGCGGCCTCAGCGGTTTTATAAGCTAATAAGACAGTTATGCAAACATATGGACAAAACCGGTTGAACCAGCTGGTTTTTTGGAGTCACGTGTGTTTAAATTATGGCTTGGTAATCGTATTTCACGGAGAGTAATTGAACCAATCATGGTATCAAATAATTCTGTATTTATTGGTCTATGGAATTTCTTAAACGCAAATATTGTATGATACCTTTCTTGTGTGAAATTTGTTCTCGAATCATTGATTGGTCCACAAAATTATGGTATTGAATAATTATTCACCGTCTGTTCAATAAAATTGCATAAACATGATTATCATATGGCATGTCTATGTTTTGAAGATTGTATTTGTATCATTTATTTAATTTATTTACCTACATTGTTTCCCGTTGCAACAACCACCATTTTACTAGTCCATTGTTTTTTATAGAGAAAAGTACATTTTCATCCCTCAACTTTACTGATAGTCTATAAATTGTCCCTCAACTCCAATACAAGGAAAACCAAGCCCCTCGTCTATCGAAACAATCTAATTTTCATCCTTTGAGCTATTACGGTTGGTTTTTGCGCCGACATGGTTTTGACTGTTAACCGTCTACTTTTCATCCCTTGGGCTATTACAGATGGTTTTTGTGCCGACATGGTTTTGACCATTAACCGTCTACTTTTCATTTCTTGGTCTATTACAGATGTTTTTTGTGCCAACATGGTTTTGACGGGTAACCGTCTACTTTCCTAAAATGTGAAAATCATGTCAACACCCTAAAATGATGAGCAATGGCCTACGAAACGGGACAAACTCAAACAAAACTGCAAGCCCGACGACCTCCCCGTAGGCGCACCCCGCCCCAAAGCGAGGAGAAATAGCCTATGAAACGGGTCAAAGAGGATTCCCATGGTATAATTTTTGAAGCATATAGTTTTATTTTATTAGTTAAATTTATAGTCAGATGGAAGGAGTAACTATTTGTTTCTTTTTTGGGTGAAACTGCATGTGTGCTTCTTTAAATGAAAATAAATAAATAAATGACGGGTCAAAGTAGCAAATTCAATGAGCCATTATAACAAGTGTGAAGCACAAAAAATATTACAAGGTAAACACCCATTAAAGGGACGCGAAGTATCTTAGCTCGAGCTCAAATAAGCTCAAGTGAACAGTAAAAATCTGAATTCTTATTTTTTTCTCAGATACGCACAAACATGCATATCATTTATTATAGAAGAGAGGGAAAGACTCCCCAAAGTGTTCATCTGTACAGATATTTACAGTTAGGCTTTGCCTAACTCCACCCAACTCACGCATCTAACTACTCAGGAGCCACCCACGGTAAGCCCTCCGTCTCTTGGATCAGGCCAGCCTTCACCCACCAGCTTCCCTCCTCTTTGATCTGTCTAATGCAGGTCGCCACAGACGGCGTTGCTCCGTTGAAAACGACATCGCTGCGGTGTTTCCATATCATCCACATGCCAACTAGGCATTTAGCGCGTGTGGGTTTCCGGTGCTGTCGGTCTTGCTCCTGCCTGATGCACCACTCCTCCAATGATTCGTCTATCTAGGGGCGAAGCCTTGTCTACCAGTACCCTCCACGAACCAATGCCATACCCGTCGTGCGAATGCATAGTTGATTAGTAGATGTTGTATGGTCTTCTCCTCTTGATCGCAAAGCGGGCATGCATCTTGGTGTGGGAGCCCTCATCGTCCGAGTCTATCTGATGCCCAACATCGATTCTTGAAGGCAAGCCAGGCGTACAATCGACACTTGAGGGGGGCTCGCGATTGCGAAGTGAAGGGCACCGTCGGCGAGGCCTTCAATCCCATGAACCTTGCGCCATAAGCAAAACGTGCCGAGAACTGTCCACGCTTCTTCCAAGCCCAGCGCACCGTCTCCTCAGAGTCCTCCATGAGATGGAGTGTAGATATCTTGTGCCATAGTCTTAGGAATTCCTCGAGCTCACCGGCTGTGAGGTCCGGTCCAACGTCCCTGGCCCATGTATGGTTACTTCGCTGCCAGAATAGTCCGTGTCCTTCGCGTACGCCTCGAGACCCTCTCATATACTGCCGGAGCAAGCTCACATATTCTCTGCCCATCGATCCATCTTTCCTCCCAGAATAAAGCGGTCCTGCCATTTCCCACTATGATATGAGTTGCTGCGCGGAATAGGGCCATGGATTCCTTCGGCACCGGTATGTTGAACTCTGCCCACGACCTAAAGCTGTCTGATCTTTGCAGCCATGGCCATCTCGCCCGTAGTGCCTTGTTGGGCCAATGTAGGTTCAGAATGCCGAGGCTACCTGCTCACTTTGGCGTACACACCAAGTCCCATGCCACTGCACAGTGTCCACCATTCGCCTCTTGTTTCCCACACCACAAGAATCCTCGACTGATTTTGACAAGGGCCGTTAGCGTCTTTGGTGGCAAATCCAGTGCAAGCATCGAGTGGATCGGGATGGAGCATAACA